TTTATTATTTGGATTTTTAAGTGAAGATGGGGCATTCCGAGAATTGAACTCGAGACCTCTCGCACCCTAAGCGAGAAACATACCACTAGACCAAATGCCCTTCTTATAATTTTGATAATTTAAAATATTTGGGTTAGCGGGTTTGACTAGTTGATAACATTAGCCTATCGTATATAAGTGTTTAGTAATTTTGCTACTAGCTGATAGTCGATTATATGCAAAATGACTTTTTGAAAAAACCATATTGAAAAAGCTACATTAAGCAACTTTTTGATTTTTAGCGTTTTGGAAGAATAACCTGTTACAGAAAAACTAATTAATCAAACACTTATATTGGCTGTTTAACTAAGTCAAACAGCTACTAGTAGTCAAACAAGCTTAAATTGGCAGATAAGCTTACTTTGTTACCAAACAGTACCAAAGTAAGCTAAACTTGCACTCTCTAACTGTCTCTTGGAACACATGCAACATCCAATGGAGGATGCACAACTCTATCCCTTTTCTCACACTCTTTTAACAAGTCATTAAAGTCCTTCAATAACCGCACAAGGCATCGATGTCAAACTTGAAAGGTAGCGAAGTAAATCCCAAGATTCCATACTTCGCCCCCTCAGGAAACCCATAAAAACCAATAAACTGCCACCAAGCACTTGCTACATCCAACCGTACATGAGTTTTTCTTCTGCAACTTCTTGCGTATTCTGAGTAGTAGGCCGACTCCACCCAGTTAGGATTGTGCGATAAACCCTAGTACCTTGTGCTTGAAGATATATCTCCATTCGAGCCTTCCAGAAAGAGTAGTTGTGACCATCTAGTTCTGGCGGTTTCATACTTGCGTCCATCCTGAATACAACAACCAGGCAACGAACACACAGAGAGACTTGCACAAAAACAGGGAGAATGCAAAACTAAAATAGCCCTTCGGATCAAGTCACTATGTAGACTTAAAAGCTCTGATACCACATGTAATTTTGCAATTCCTCATTTTAAGTAAATTGACAGAATTAGATGATTGATGTAGATTACTGATTGATTCAGATAATAGGCCAATCAGTAATGATAGATCACAAAGAGAGAATAAGAGAAAGATAACCGCACAAAAGCCAAAGACACAGAATGTTTAACCAGTTTGATACAGTGTGTATCTACGTCTGGGAGACGATCACATAGGCGTCCAATCCACTAAATCATAAACCAATGTACAAAGGTAGATATACAATAATCTTACCCAAGTGCCCCACACAAGGTTCAAACCCAGTCTACACAGGTCTAGTGGATTGTTGAAGATGGAGAGCCATGCATACAGAAGTCCAATGAAATCCCTTCACTTGGAGAGCCCACTCTGGTGCAGTCCACTTCAATGACGCTCTATAAAGTTGTTCCCACAACAGTGTGATCACAGTGTCCTTTCGTTTAAGTAGTAGTAACTCTTCTCAAGTTCTTCATCTTAATCACCGTGAACATATTGTATTGATAAGATGCATGACAATCAAAGATTTAATCTCATATAGCAGATATGGAGTGTCTCTTCTTACTTTCGGCGTAACCCTAATTCTCTTCGAATAAGGGTACTTATAGATCCTTCAATAACCACTCTCCATGGATGTCTTTGATTGTAGCAGGTAGGACTATAAAATAGGAATGTAATCTCAGAAGATTAGGTCCATACCTTTCTTAAGATTATACGCTGATCATCATTCCAAATGAGTCTGATAATACTGCGTACGCCTTTTAAGAAACCAGCTTCCTAAAATAGATCTTCAGTGTCAGTCCTTCTGTTGTTGCTTCTGATTGATCAGTTATCTGTAGAGATAAATGGACAGACTCTAAACCTATATTAGTATGCCATTATAATATTGCCAATTATAATATGGGGTTTTTTGAACATTTAAAAACACTAACAAACTCCCCCTTTGGCTATTATTTGGCAAAACAACTCGACTAGAAACTCAAAGAGCTAAGATAGGTTATTATAATGAAGCAACCCATATGTCCGAACTGATTACATAGAATGAAAACAGAAACATAGGATCCAAAACAGTTTAGGATCAAAAAACATAAACGCCCAGCCAGGGCCAGAAGGGACTCGAACAAAAACAAAAAAATTAAACTCCCCCTGAGTTCATACTACTCCCCCTTTTTGCCAATGGTAGCCAAAGATCAAGCATTGGAGTGAGAGTCACTGTCAGACTTCACAGGATCAGCAGCAGCAGCAGCTTCAGTCAGGCTCAAACGAAGAAGAACAGTAGCTAGCTCAGTACGGGCACCTGTCAGTTGCTTTGCAATAATGCTGTGCACCGTCTCAAGATCAGCAACTCTTGCCTTCAGCTATATGGAAAGCTGAACATCCTTAGCATGAGGAGCGTCATTAGGCACAGCATCTGGTTCAGGATTGGATGGGGCAGTCACAGGAACAACATCCCGAATGTGATCTCCAGACAGAAGACGTTTATCAACAGTATAAAGCAACGTTGGGCTGATCACTTCACTGGGCATAGGCTCAAGGCCCTGAGTGGTAAGGATGCCAAAAATCAGATTTGGGAAGGGTAGTCTTACCTTCTGTTCGCGTGGGTGAATCAGGGTGAGGATGTGATAGTAAATCCATTTGCCCAGATCAAGTTGCATCTTTGTTCCAATTCGAAATAAGAACCTAGCCAGAAGCTTGCCAACTGTGTGAAAATGGGCTGATGGGAGCCAGTTGTGAAGAGCTAGGCGGTGTAAAATCACATATCTGGACGTGAGATGGGAGCTTTGCGGATAGTCCTTGTCACCCGTAGGCCATGATTCTGTCTGCCCACCGGTCAGAGTTCTGGCAACTAAGTCCCAGTCAGTAATAGCTTCTTCTTGAACTGCTGGCAAGCCATATTATTCATTAATCATATCCGGCCCAAAAACATACCACCTTCCTCTGATAAAGATCTGCATCGGTTGTGGCCCTGTGAGAACGTCAATCTCATCATTGAGATTGCAATAGAATTCATATGTGAGCAGCTTAGAGTAAGGGCAGATGTCCGTGACAGTTTTCAAAAATCCGGCTTCATTCAGCAAGGGCAGAATGTCAGAAACGGAGTTCAGCTGGTTCTCGTCCACCGATCTTTGAACAATAAGATCCCTTATAACCATAGTAGCCCATTTGGCCTGTGCAGCAGGAGATACAAACTGAGGCCGGTAAACAGATGGGTCAGTTTCTTCAACAGGTGGGACCTCAGGGGTAATACATCGACCTCTTGATCGTGTGGATGGCTTCCCTTTTCTGACAGAAGGGGCTGGTACAGAGGTAGCTTGAATAGCAGTAGATCCTTTTTGCTTAACAGACGATCGCAGAGTCTTGAACACTTGTTGAACAGGCGGGTTTCCTTTAGGCTTAACATTCTCACTCGATTTTCTCTTCTTCTCAGGCTGATCCACATCAGTATTATCATCACCGGTCTCAACAACAACCTTTACTGGGACATTCTTCTTTTTTGACCGTCTTGTTTCCTTGGTTGGGGACTGAACCGGAGTCACAGAGTGGCTAGAATCAGAAACATTTGCAGACGAGCTTCCAATAATATTTGAAATCTCTCGAATTTTGAAATTCGTGGAGTCAGGATGAGCAGTTGCCTCAACAGTTGGAACATCAGATTGAAGTGCTTGAGATCCATACACTTCAGCCAGTATTTTATCATCTTCACTAGAGGATTCGGAAGGATGAATAACTCGATATGGTTGAGGGATGGAATCAGATGGTAGCCCAGCAAAGTGTCGCACATGTTCCGGACTCTCTCCTAAAGATGTTGCAGTGTAAACAGGAATTCCACCTGTTTTCTCAGACTTGTGGGGGCTTGATAAATCAACAGTTTCAACAGTAGCAGGTAAAACAGGAGTATCAATAGCAGAGCAAGTTTCTTTAGTGTCATCAACATTCTCAGCAGGAGGTAGAGCAATATTATCAGAAGAGTAAACGACTAAACTCAGTGGATTTAGCTCATCAGAGGACTTTGCTTTCTCATCAGACACATGCAAGACATCAGTTTTCATACCAACAGATTCACTCAAAGGCAAAGATAAAGAATCAACATTCATAAGAGGCTTCTTGGAATCCAAAGCAGTTAAATTTTCAGAAATAACAGGCACACAAGATGGGGTAGCAGAAACATCAGGTTTATCTGGTGAAATTTCAATAGGAGTTTCAGAATAGTTTGACCTGTTTCGGAGGATCTCCTGTCTGTGTGTTGCCTCTTTTTGAGCAGCTGCGAGATACAAAAGTTGCGCCTCCTCTTGCTGTCGAGAGGCCTCAACCAATTCTAGGGCTCGATGTGCAAAGTATTGAAGGAATGCCCCGGCCCGATTTCCATCCAAGGGTTCTGGAATATATACTGGAGAAACTTCATCACTGGCTTCAGAAACCATCATAAGCAGTTCAGTCGCATCATCTTCAGACCATTCTGCATAAAACTCTGGGTAATAGGTCATCACAGTTACTAGAATCTCGTCGCGAAGCAGAGGATCAAGTTTGAGCTTCTTCTTCATAGCAAACTGCAGCAGCGTCTGAATATGCTTAAGGGCCACCTCCGGAGAGTGTGTCTTGCTTCCAATTTTGATAATGATGTTTCTTACAGGGTCTGCCATTGAAGGTTATGTGCGAAGAGAAGAGCAGATCACTGAAGGCAGATATGCAAGAGAGATAGAAAGTTGAGAGCTGTGGTGATCGAAGATGTGTTTTTCTTCTTGACCCGGTATCAAATAGGCTTAAGGGTGATGAACCCTAATTAATGCGGCTTGTCAAATATCATGCAGACGCGATTGATTGACACAACGGTACAACTCCTTTTTAGGAAGGAAACGGAACCCAAGGAAATTTGAAATTCGAAAAGAAATTAAGATCTTTTAAGATATCTCTGAGAAGCATAATGTTAAATAATCTTCTTAACATAAATAGAGATGAGTCTTTAAGGAAAGTCAAATCATAACACTGACCCGTATACACCAACTCCTCTTTGACGGACCAACTGCTTTAATCAGTCAATTCTGCAAATTCCCAGAGCAGATCTGAGAATTTCAAAACGATTAGCATCCAATGGCTTAGTCAGAATGTCTGCCAGTTGTTTGTCAGTCTGAATGTATTCCAATTCAATTTCCTTGGATTCAACCAGGTCTCTGATGTAATGATGCCTGATGTCAATATGCTTCGTTCTGGAATGTTGAACATGATTCTTGGAGATGTTAATAGCACTGACATTGTCACAGTAGAGCGTCATTGTTCCTTGAGTAAGACCATAATCCAGAAACATCTGTTTCATCCATACCAACTGAGTACAGCAACCACCTGCAGCTATGTATTCTGCCTCTGCAGTGCTTAGAGAGATTGAATTCTGTTTCTTGCTTAGCCATGATACTAAGTTTTTACCAACGAAGAAACATCCTCCAGAAGTATTTTTCCGATCATCAATATTTCCTGCCCAATCAGCATCACAGTATGCAACCAGATTCAGTTCACTGTCTTTGGAATACCAGAGTCCATACTGTATCGTTCCTTTAATGTACTTCAAAATGCGTTTTGCAGCTATCAGATGAGATTCCTTTGGATCAGATTGATACCTTGCACAGATTCCTACACTGAACATTATGTCTGGTCGACTGGCAGTTAGATACAGTAGACTGCCTATCAAGCTACGATAGACTGTGTTATCCACTGATGCACCAGTTTCATCTTTCGATACTTTTGTAGAGGTGGAGATTGGTGTTCTGGAAGATTTACATGTTTCCAGATCAAACTTTTTGACAAGATTCTTAGCATACTTCTCTTGCGAAATAAAGTATCCTTCAGAACTTTGCTTGACCTGTAGACCTAGGAAGTATGTCAGTTGACCAACCATGGACATTTCAAACTCTTCCTCCATTACTTTTACCAACTCATCAGTGTATTTCTGCAGGGTCGATCCAAACACAATGTCATCAACATAGATTTGAGCTATGGTTACATGACTTCCAGTAGTTTTTACGAACAGAGTTTTGTCAACACTTCCGCGTTTATACCCATGCTGGAGCAAATATTGTGTCAGTCGTTCATACCATGCCCGTGGGGCTTGTTTAAGACCGTAGAGAGCTTTTCGAAGCTTATAGACATAAGTAGGGTGTTCTGGATCTTCAAAACCCTTAGGTTGAGCCACATAGATATCTTCATGGAGATACCTATTCAGAAATGCTGTCTTGACATCCATCTGATATAATGTAAATCCCAAAATGCATGCAACAGCCAGCAAGATTCTGATTGACTCGAGTCTAGCTACAGGAGCAAATGTCTCGTCATAGTCAATCCCTTCAATCTGAGTATGACCTTGAGCAACTAACCGAGCTTTGTTTCTGGCTATATTCCCGGCTTCATCAGTTTTATTTTTAAAGATCCACTTCGTTCTAATTACGTTGACACCATCAGGTCTTGGTACAAGATTCCAGACATGATTCCGCTCAAACTGATGTAGTTCCTCCTGCATTGCCTTGATCCACAGATCATCCTGTAAGGCTTCTTTGACATTTCTGGGTTCTATCTTTGAGGTATAGCAAGCAGACCCAGATATTTCTGTCAGATTATTTGTTATTCTGCTTCTGGTCTTCATCCCATATGATGGATCTCCAATAATGTTATCTGATGGATGGTTTTTCTGAGTTCTGGTGGGCTTGTCTTTACCAACATCATTCATGAGATCTATCTCCTGTTCTGAACTTTCTTTATCTTCATCTGATGAATCTTGTGGTTTGAGTTGACTGTTGTTATTACTTGCATCTGGATCACTTAGAGAAGACTCTATCACTGTTGAGTCTACTGATTCTTCTGGGTTGTCATCGATAACCACGTTCACTGACTCCATCACAGACTGAGTCCTCTTGTTGTAGACTCTGTAGGCACGACTGTTCGGAGAGTAGCCAAGGAAAATACTCTCATCACTCTTGGGTTCGAACTTCCCTCTTTGTTCTCTATCAGCTAGCACATAACACTTTGTTCCAAACACATGAAAATATTTCAGATTTGGCTTCTTTCCCTTCAGATCTCATAAGGAGTTTTCGTTGTTCCTGGTCTAAGATAGGCCCCATTTATAGTATGACACGCTGTGTGAACTGCTTCAGCCCAGAAGCGTTGTGGCAGATGTGAGGCATGTAGCATGACTCTAGCCATTTCCTGTAAAGTTCGATTCTTTCTTTCCACTACTCCATTCTGTTGAGCAGTTCTAGGAGCTGAGAACTCATGTGATATACCATGCTCGGAGTAGAAGTCTGAATATAGTGAGTTCTCAAATTCCTTTCCATGATCACTCCTCAATCTCTAAACTTTTATAATGGACTCATCCTTTTCCTTCTGAACTCTTATGCACAGAGTCTTAAAGGCCTTGAAGGCTTCTGTTTTTTCTCTCAGAAAGTATACCCAGCTGTATCGAGAGAAGTCGTCCACACACACAAATATATATTTCTTTCCCCCAATACTTTCACTTTGTGTTGGCCCCATGAGGTCTATATGGACAAGGTCTAGACATTTCTCAGTGGTGATACCTCTTACTGCTTTGTGTGGAGTTCTGATTTGTTTCCCAATTGCACATGCGCCATAGATTTTTTCTGGATCAATTCTGATCTTAGGTACACCTTTTACTGCTTCCAGTTTTATCAGCTTATCATATCTCTGAAGTTTATGTGACCCAGTCGTCTATGCCAGAGTTTTGATTCATCAGACTTGGATAGATGACAAGCAGTTTCATTTGTCAAAACATAACAATTGTATGAGGACCGAGTTCCTTCCATGACAAGTTGATTTTCTTTGTCACTAACTCTGCAGCAGTTACGATCGAAGCACACATTCCAATTTTGATCACACAACTGACTGATGCTAATTAGATTCGCTTTTAACCCACTGACTAGCAGGACTTCTTCTAATTGAGGTAAGCCTGGTACATTTTGGATACCTTTTCCCACGATTTTACCTTTTTGTCCATCTCCATATGTTACAGCACCACTGCTGGATTGAACAGCCATCAGACACTTAATATTTCCAGTCATATGTCTGGAACATCCACTGTCGAAATACCATCTAGCATCAGTTGTAGATGCAGTCAGAACAATGGTTGGGTAGCAGATGACTTCTGACTTTCTGACCCAAACCTGTCTAGTGAATGGTGTAATAGTCTTATTCTGATATTTTTCCTTCCTTTGATCTCTGTAGAAAAAATAACACTCAGGTCGAGTATGACATTTTGTTTGACAGTAGTGACAAATGGGAGTGTAATATTTAACTTTGACAATCTTATTTTTGAACCTCGAATAATGAGATTGATGAGTTGATCTGGCCAGGTTAGTATCAGTATTCTGATCGTACCTCCTTCCCTTGTTTTGCACTGACTGAGATGACTGTCCTTGTTCATACCTGTGATCAGCAGTGGTCTTAGACATTCCCTCTTTGATGAACTTTGGTGCGTTATTCGAAGACTCTCCTTGTTCAAATCCCAGACCCTTTTTATCATTAGGATTTCTGCCAGAGTCTAGAATTTTATCTAAGGTAGATGTGGTGTCCATCATCTGGATATTTTTCTTCAAGCTCTCTAATTCCTTTATTAGTTTTCCTTCTCTAGACCGTATCTGAGTGATGAGATCTTCTTTTATGACCAGTTCTGCATTCAATTTCTTTAGAAGATCATCTCTTTGCTTCAGCTCGTCATTCAGATTCTTATTCACTTTCACAAGTTGTTCCCAGCTAGCAACAAGTTTTGCAAATTCTGTCTCAAGTTGAGTATGTCTCTCTTCAAAATCATCAGTTGATATGTATGATTCTCCATCAGATTGATCTCCGTCTGACTGAAGGTCTGTAGCAGTAAAGAAAGCTACAAAGTTTCCTAAATTATCATCTGATTGATCATTTGAAGTTTCCTCCTCATCATCACTAAGAGTAGCTACAGACATAGCCTTTTTCCTTTTAAGATATGTTGCACATTCAGCCTCTATGTGACCGTATCCTTCACATTCCCTACATTGCACTGACCGATTAAGGGGTTTTCCTGTGTCTGTGGAACTGTTTCTGTTTTGTCTTGATCGCCCAGTCTGAGATTGATTGTTTTGTGAGAAATGTGCTGTTTCTACCTTTTGATATGAGGAGTTGTTGCCTTTGTATTGTGTCCTGGTAGGCTGACCTTGACCCTTTCTGTTGAAACTTTTAAAATTTTCTTGAAGTTTTTGGTTAGAAGAGCTAAGGTTTCATCATCTATGTCGGTCTGTGTCAGATTCTCGATCAGCCTCAGCCACAAAGGCTACCGACTTTTGTTTCCTGTTGCTTCCAATATCATCATCAGCAAGAACTTCCAGTTCGTATGTGTGTAAGCTTCTCATGAGTTCCCCGACAGTCTTCTTTTCCCAACCTGTGTGTTCCTGAATAGCAGTTACTTTCATTCGAAAGCGTTTAGGTAAAGATCTAAGAATCTTTTGACCACTCTCTCATCAGTGAATGGTTCCCCAAGAATTGAGGCTCGATTCATCAAGTTCTGAACCCTACTGTGGAA